GGTGAACCATTTTCATTACAGTCCGACATATACAGTTTAGGCATGATTATGTGGGAACTTACGTCTGGTCGTCAGCCATTTTATAATAGAGCACATGATGAATATCTTATCCTAGATATATGGGACGGATTGAGACCCGAAATTACTGATGACACACCCGATTATTGGAAAAGATTGATGCAAAGATGTTGGGATTCGAATCCTTCAAATCGACCCGGAATAGAAATAATAGATCAAGCCACAAAAAAATTCTATACAAATGACTACCATCAATTTCAAAATGCAGAAGAAAAACGAAAGCAAATGATAAACTCTGGTACTTCATTTGTAAAAGGATCCGGACCGAATCATTCAAAATCAGTGTATCACGCTAGATTATTAAATACCATTATGGAGATTGCAAATAACATTAAAAGTTTGAGAGATTCGTCTAACCTTACAAAACCTTCAGGTAACATTTTGATATTTAAACCTTAATATTTCAATATAGCTGCTAGTGAAGAGATATTGAAGCCTCTGGAAATTCAGGTAGAACCCCCAAGACCAAAAAACGTTAGCAACAGGCATTATCAAAAAGGGAAATGTTCTAACTGCAACATATAAAGAAGATATGCGGATGTGGGCAAGAAAATTTGCAGGCTTTGTTCTTTTGCAAATTTATTTCCAAAAAGTGATAATCGAGATATTAATAACTTCCTAATAAGAACATCGAATAATCAAGCAAAAGGCATTTTAGAGTGGATACCATATGAAGATTTTTCATATATTGAATGCATTGGATGTGGTGCATTTAGTAGGGTTTACAAAGCGATGTGGCACAGGGGACATATTAAACATTGGAATTTGAAAACAGGAGAAGTAGTTCGTTCCGAACCTGTGGAAGTAGCGTTGAAAGTGCTCGCCGATTCAGATTGTTTACGTTCAACCTTTCTAGATAAAGTATGTATCTTATTTTTTTTATTGATATTTACTTTTCTACTCTATTTTGCTTATAAATTATTCATGTTATTTTCTAGTTACGAAGTTTCCATTTATTTAAATCAAACGAATTAAAATATCGACACATTGTTAAATGCTATGGAGTTTCACAGGATCCCGAAACAAAAAATTACATTTTTGTCATGCAATATGCAAATTATGGGAACTTGAGAAATTTGTTGGCAACTGAATTTCATGGCAGGTTAAATTGGAACCTTAAAAAAAAGGTCGTCCTCTCACTCTTGGAATCTATCAAAGAGATTCATCAACAAAATTTAATACATCGGGATCTGCACAGTAGTAATATATTGGTATCTACAAGAAAAAAAGGGAGGCATATTAATATTTTATCATTTATTTGCAATTTAGGGACATGTCAGCCTGTGAATAAAAAGTCTGAATCAATTTATGGAGTTATTCCTTATATGGCACCCGAGAATTTTGATGGAATATATTTGACACAATCTGATATATATAGTTTGGGTATGATTATGTGGGAACTCACGTCTGGTCATATTCCATTTTATGATAGAGCACGAGGATCGAGACCAGAGATTACAAAGGATACTCCCAAATGTTGGGCAAATGTAATGAAAAAATGTTGGGATGAGGACCCCTTCAAACGACCGACAATTGAAGAAATAATAGAAAGTTTAGATCCCGAAGAACTTCTAGTGGCAGAGAAAAAACGTGAAGAAATGGTAAAATCCGGAATCCCATTTGTAGAAAAACTGGAATCCAAACATACAAAGTCAGTTTATTCTAGTAAAACATTGGATTATCTAAGTGAGACTTCAGAAGAAGACATATTATATGATTTAATCGATTCCAAAGAAATACCAGGTAAATCTATTTTTTTATTTTTTTTTTTATATTAGTTCCAATAAAAAATTCTTGTATGTATTTATTATTAAATTAACCCATTTGTATAGAACATAATTCCAGTAACGTTTTGGAGAATTTTCTGTGGGTGTTACCTCATGCAATAAATTTGTTTCTCATTAAATGACCCAACGCGCTGACGAAGTCGTGCAAGGGGTATTATCACGAGGATCTTTCCTATATCAGATTCGTGTAACGAGAAAGAATACTTAAGAAAATGGTTATTATTGTAGATCAGTTTAGTGTTTTTTTACCTTCGTTGCCCGATTACTTTCCGGCTCTTTCGTGTTCGCCCCTACGTCATGTCAAAATAATAAAATAACTAGATATCTAAATAGCAAAAATAACTGAATAACGAATATTGATGTCATGTACATTTAACATCATGGAATCTAACATATCAAAAGGAGATCTCGAGCAAATCTGTAAGGGACTTGGGATACCTACAGGGGGAGTTAAAGCTGACCTTTTCCAAAAATTAAAAGAATACTCAAAAGGAAAAGGAAAAGCCAAGGAGTCCGAAACTGTAAATAACGATAATGGGGAACATAATAATAATGATGCCAACTCAACTATATCTGACCACAATTCTGACGAAATGGATATTGACCCACAAATACAAACTTTGAGAGAGCTAGTACTAAAATCAAAAACTAAAACAAGAACCTTATCAATCATTTTAGACATAGATGAACCTACCACTTCACGGCACCATACAAACGAAACACCTCTAGAAGCTCAAAAGAGGCCACGAAAGCATAAGCTACATAAAGAAAAAAGTGATGATATAATGGAAAGTAGGGTGCTATCCGAGTTTAAAAAACTAGAAAGTGCCATCCTAAACTTTAATAATAAACTAAATTCTGTAACTGATCAGGTTCACGACACTCGCCACAAAGTGGAAACTGACAAAACGTGGCCAGTACACAAATTTGAAAAGAACCATGATCAACATGAATACGATTCTTTACGTATAATTGGAAAGGAACTTGATCTTACGTTAAAATATAGAGATCTAGACGAAGTCGTAATCCATATTGATCGTGCTTGAAAAGAAACAGAAAATATGATGTTTACTATATGCATTGCTGAAGGATATGGCTGGGATATTGCATTTGCCTTATCTGATACCCAAGACGAATGGATGAAAGGGAAAAATGGGTTGATCGAGAAAGCAAAAACACTAGTGGATGCCAAAAAAAATAAATGGATAAAAACCTACGAATTTAATAAATTGCTGATATATCCTTATGCTAAGTATAGCTCCCAAAACAACTATCAAAATACTTACCTGCATAGCGATTAAAACAACTACCAAAATACTTACCTGCACAGCGATCAAAACAACTACCAAAATTCTAACAAATTTTTTCGTCCCTATAATCAATTCCCAAACCATTCTATAAAGAACTCAGGTAGATGCTACATCTGCGAAGGTTATAGACATTTTGCCTATAACTGCCCTTCAGATCCAAACAGAAATCCCGAACATCGTCAAGATTATCGTCCCAACTACCGATCAAGAGGCTATGACACCTATAAGAATAAATATAGCCGAACCCAAGACGATGCAAAGCGCGATTGACTATACTCGGGCCCTGCAACACCTACCTGTAACAGGATGACTACAGATAAAGGAACATGTTCAATACTGGAAAGAGAAAATTCACGCATCAGACTTGATCATCAATTGGCTGAGATTTGGAATTTTCTTGTTCCCGAAAAATCTACTACATCTTACAAAACAACCAGATCCACCCCAATACCCCCTGACAGATACTCAGATGCTATAACTAAATGGCGAGATAAAAAGACTCTCAGAAATAGGTGCAATAGTACTAGCGTCGAATTCGGATTACCACCTATCTTCATTGCTCGAAGTGAGCCCCATTTTTCTAACCCCAAAATCCGGCCCGAAGAAATAGTGACTAGTGATCAATCTTAGGTGCCTGAATGTTACACTCCCAGAGAAGTCTTTCAGATTCGAGGGTTTGAAGACCTTCTTGCGTATGGTAGGCCGAAACTGGTGGGTAATCGTTCTAGACCTAAAAGAAGGATACCATCATGTATTAATGGACACAAAAGCACAAAGACTACTTGGATTCAAAATAGGAAAAAATTGGTACCATTATTGAGTACTTCCGTTTGGCCTAAGTCAAGTGGTCTGGATATTTTCAAAGATCATGCAGGCTCTGATTGGACATTAGCGGTCGAACGGTATCTTTTGCGGGAATCACATAGACGATATTTGGATTGTACACCTATGCATAGAAACCCTTGTTCAAATCAGAGATTCAATCATACTACGGGATCTAAAAAATTGTGGATTTATCCTTGCCAAAAAAAGTCACTTGGAACCTACCCAGCAATCCAAGTTCTTGGGATGATCCTGAACACGGAAACGGGAATGGTCACAGCTCCGGACTCAAAAATAAACAATACCTTATGCTGCCTACAGAATCTTCTACTTACGACCAAAATTATTACTCGTTACCTATCTTCAGCCACGGGAAAACTTATGAGCCTGAGTCACGCCTATACATGTGGTGTAAATTATTTTACTGTTGACTCAATTGCCAAAATCCTCAAAAATAATTGCGTCTGACTCAATTATTTTATATGTTTT